CAGTGACGCACACTGTCCGTGCAACAAGTACTGCCGGTGATGGAACTCATGCGATCACATTTGGCACCCATAGCGAACAGTGCCTCGCACCAAATCAGGCGCCTGGACCACACTTTGCAGTCGTACTCCAGGCAAAGGCGGAGCCTGAGAAAGGCACCCACCAGACATCGCAAATCACCATCTTCAATTTAGGGAGCTTCCATTCGAAAAGGCGAGTCTCTAAACCCGTGGAAATCTGTTTCGACTCTAGGAATCGACAACTCATGAGAAAGCTCAATGAACATGGTTTTCTTTTTTGGCATCTTGGCGTTTTGCTTTCAAAGTGAATCTGGACTGGACTACTCTTGCAAGACATTATAGCAGGTGCAGCATGGAATTGCCCAACTAAGGCAACCACGAAAGCCACATCTTTACGGCGACTAATGATAAGGTGGACCCGTCAGCTTAGAAGCGAATATTAAATACTCTCGAAATCATTGCAAATAAAGAAATTTGCACCTCTGTGGAAGGTGGAGGTCACTGAACCGTGTGAGTGCTGCTGGTACTTTCGGCAAGCTCTGATTTAGTTGTCATTCGAATTCAATTGAACACGCAATGCAACAGCTCCCATCCGAACCCGTTGCATCGGCGATGCAAGGTGTTCGCTTGGCCATCCGCGTCTGTGCAACAAAAAGCATGCTGGCCATCTTTATTGCTACCACTCGCCCAATGGACATAAGTTCCTTACTCATCCACTTCTGGGTGGAGCTTATCAACACTACTGTGTTTCCAACAAAACCCGTATTCCTGACGTGCTTCCCCTGGTTGAGGAACACAAACCAATGTTGCTCTGACGATCAGGATATCCTTCCAAATTGATCGTCTTCCCCGCTATCTTTTCATGGTCACCGCAATTCTGCCACTATGCTACCGTGCCACTGGAGTGTTCACATGCTCAGTACGCAGCCAGGCCAAAGTGCCGTGGGGCAGACCGCCTGTTGAGGAGAGTCGCAAACATCTGGTAGTAGTATCTTCGTGGAAACTGGAAGTGATTTCACTTGAAGCCTGCAGCTTCAAAAGTTGCAAGTCATCAAACCATTGTCTGAGTGTATCATGTGCATACAGTAATCGACATAGGATAATCAATAATGTACACTATGTGGATATGGGTGTGGTTGGAACACAATAGGGAAATGCAATGAAATGATGGGGGTGTGCCGAAAACAATATGTCATGGGGAATTTTGTGGGTGAATGATGTTTTAGAACGGGAAATCCTCGGTTTTGCTGCTCTTGGTGGCGAAGGTGGCCAGAAACTGCCTAAGTTTGGAGCGTGGTTTTCTGGGACATTTTGCCCGTTGGGCACGCGCAGCTGCATCTTGCCAACAGGATGGGGGCGCTGAAAGCGTCGCTGGTACAGTGGCTTGAGCCTTTTTGCGAAGGGCGTTGGCGTTGGCAATCAGCGTGCACGTAGATCCAGCAGCTGCCCCCTGCACCCAGCCTCCACGTGTTTGACAAGCGCGGGCATCATTCGTTGCGATGGGATGCGCTGTGGCAGTTATGCGCAATGGCGCGTATGTTGGTTGCAGACGTGCTCGACGAACTTGTCTTTGGACGGTGGAGCACACATTGGCCCCTGTGCCAGGAACGGCACATTGTGAATGTTGCGAGTTGTCCTGATCGATTGTGAGTACATTTGGCAGGTGTGCTCGCGGCATGTGAAGGCTGAGATGCCCGATTGGAGTGACATGGCGAGCGCGGTGTACCCTGTCTTGCAGCACGAGCCGTGGAAGAGGAGACGTAGACTCGACGGGCAAGGACAGAACACCATCTATTGCGAGGTCTGTGTGGCGGCGAATACACTCCAAACATATGCATCATCTTCCAGGGCACAGCCCCTGTGTGAGTTGCTCTTCTGGGCGTCGTGGTTTCTTTTCTAACACAATTCCTTGCTTGCATGAAACGATGTTGAATGTTCCACAATGGCTCACAATGGACACCCTTTCAGCCAAATATGCCACCATCGTTGCATTTTATCAGCGGAATTGGTCACACATCTGCCCAGTACTTCCATGAAGCTGTTCGGTGTTGAGGAATCTCAACCATCGCCATACCAAGTGATGAGCATAGCAAATTGTGCATCTATAAACCCAGTTGTCCAAAATTTGCAGGACATGTCTGTTTCCCTCAGTGGCCTTTGTATTGTGCACAGGTCTATGGTTGTGTCACTGAAATCGGTAACAACGAAATGCTCAGGCGCTTCCGTCTGTGCCGGGAGCACATCAGGTCTCCAGTACTCCTCTGCGGTGACCAGCATTTCCGATTTTGCCAAAGCTGCAACAGGATCCAGCCTGTGGAGGACTTCAGTGGTGACCGCAGGTGTGAAGATGTCTCTTGTGAACTGACGATTGTCTCATGAAAGAGAGGAGCGTGCTGTGAAATGAGTGCACAGTCCACATGTTCGGGGAGATTTCGTTGCCTGCTTCATGGTTATTGCAAAAGAGCTGAACAACTGTTATTGTTTTCGTGTCCTGCGAGTGTGTGGCATGTTTTGGACAGTCTGCATCAATTTGATTGCATCGATCTACGGTCCCAGAACTTGCCTAACACCAGAAGGAGCAATGCGATACAATGATTTGACAAAATGTAGTTAATCTGTTTGTCTTCAATCTGCAAGCCCCCCATCAAGAGGTCAGAGACGAGGCCTACATATCTTCTGTTAGTAAAAGAGTGGCACTTGGTGTCCTAAATCTGATGGAATAAGAAAAGACTCCATCCAGAGCCTGGTGTGTCTTCTTCCATGCATGGCATGTTGTGATCATTGGTTATTATTTTCAATAGAAGAAGTTCTTGACGCTGCAGCATTTCAGCTCGGCCTTCATCTTGGTGGGATTATCTCTTGTTTGTAGCACAGGGACTTGGACATGAATTATATGGGCTGCTCCCCTGTGTTGCAGGTCATGTATTCGATCTCTCCGGAAGATCCAAAAGCCTAAGTCACCTCGTATGTAGTTAATCCGGTTGTCTTCGATTTGCAAGCACCCATCAGGAGGTGAGGAACAAAGCCCACATATTTCTGTCAGTAAGTGAATGGCAATTGGAGTCCTAAATTTGATAGACAAAGAAAAACCTCCATCTTGTGCATGGTGTGTCTTCTTCCATGGCATGACACGGTGTGGTCATTGGTTATTATTTTCAATAGAAACAGTTCTTGAAGCTGCAGTATTTCAGCTTGGGCTTCATCTTGGTGAGACTACCTGTTGTTCTTAGTGCAGGGACTCGGACATGACTTGTATGGGCTGCTCCGCTGTGTTGCAGGCCATGTGTTTGGTCTCTCAAAAAGTGCCAACCTTTAGTGTCACGACGCTATGCTGTGCCGATTATGCACTGGCGTGATGCCAGTATGTTGCCGATTCATACACTTGAACACAATCAAACCCTTCCCGAGTACGAGAGCACTTCAGGAAGTGAGGAATGTTTCAGGGAATGCCATGAGATGTTGTCAACAACGATTTGCGCAGTAGTTACTCTTGGCTATGTGCACAATCCCTTTCTTCAAGCTCTTGAACTGCTTTTAGGTTCCAGGGTTTGGTAGTGTGGTTTTCCTTGTGGAGACTTGGGGTTTTACGAGGCCAGGTACATGAAATGATCCTATCAAAATAGTGTACATTGCGAATTTGCGGTTGCATATGTTTGTATTGTCTTTTTGGTATTTGTACCAAGAGCATATTGACCTGAGGGATTCTCAAATGGCAGTGATAGCAGCAATTGGAAAGGCATCGAAGGGCCTACTGCTTGTCGTATCCTGCTGTTGAATTCGCGAGTACACACTGAATGACACATGACCAACGTATGGCGACTGCTGTGTAGCACAACAACAAGGCTAGTCAGGGATTTTGCATGGACACCTTGGCAGCAGGTGGGAAAACCCATTGAAAACGGGGAAACCACAGACCGAGATTCATTAAATGCAGCACACCCACCACGTGTATGAATCAACAGCGCCCTTGTGATGGCAAGAAAGGCGAATTTCCAGCCAAGAGATTCTAGAAATGCTTGGAGTTACAGCATGTATAACATCTGCGCTCCCCTGACGATGTACGAGTATTGTGGATATTTCTCACTCGGAATCATCCTGAGAGGCAGAGTTGTTTACGAAGTGCTAAAATTTTCCAGGAAATTAGCTGACTATGGCATAATCAAGGAAAGAGAGAATGGGTGGCCAGGTTAGCCTGATACTTAGGGCCTCGCAGAGGCCGCCTCAACCACTTTGCATATAATCCTAAGGGAGTATTTGCACCTGGTGAACATTGTTTGCACACATGGCATAGGCTAATTGACTGCCAGGCCCTTGGAAAGGTTGTCTTGTGGTGGCATGCAATAACTGGGGTATAAAAATAGAAAAACGAGGGAACAACGCTCCTCACAACCACCACCCGTGGCTGTTGAGGGGGAGTAGAAGTATGAGGTCAAGGAGATTGTGGAGAAAAGGATCCAGCGTATGGCGCCGGTTCTCAAACTGAGCACATAGTGAAGTGGCATGGGTGCAATTCGTTCTGCAACGTGTATGAGCTGGCCACTCACCTTTACCCATGCCAGGGCAGCATTCAGCGTTCGAGGAGTCATGCGACTCGTTCCTGGTGGTGGTGGGGGGGGGGGGAGAGGGGCGTGATAGCTAGTGTCATTAATGAGACTTGATTGGACAGAGTAATGGCCCTCTCTTTTATGCAATTAGCAAGGGACGCGCACAGATTGAGGGAATGTGGAACAGTGGATGGGGAAGGTATTGCATGGAGCAAAGTCACTGCGTAAACGCTTGTATCTGGTGCCAAAGTTGCAGCTCAGCTCTGGGGACGGTTTCGCGTTCGGGGAGTTGCTGCGGCTCGTTGGGCGCTCCCCCTGTTACAAAGATGCTCCACACAAATGCGATGGATACAGCACCCCCCTCTTTTTGCTGACAAGTACACCTCGTCCCGCACACAGCAGCGTCGCCCACGCACGAACACCCCACATGACAAACAACAGCGCCCCAATTTTCCGCAGTGCAGACAACAAGTACAGCACGACAATGCGCGCGACATCCATGCCCCGTGCCGCTCCTGCTCATCGCACATCACCACAAATCCTTCAACCGCATTGCCAAACGATGACTAGCGCGCTGATTGGCAGGCCCACGTGACACACCATCCTACACCCACTACAGTAATGCATTCCACCAGCAGATTCCACGTGCTAAAGTCCTACATAACAAAACTATATAATAAAAATAATAAGTACATAACAAATAAAAATAATAAATGAAAAAAATACATAATAAAAAATGTGTGGATTCATGCCAAGCGGTTGCAGTGCATGCACCCGCATGCACACATACTGCACAAACACGCTGCCCATGACAGTGAAGTGTACGGCAAGGTTGGAAGGGGACGTTGTCGCGTAGCGAACAGCCACCCAAGCTGCTTCATATCCAATGTGGAATACTGTGGTACGGGAGAGTGGCGCACATTGGACAGCAGCATTCACGCATTCATGACGATTGGTGGGAGCACAACGTGGCCACCCTAGATGGCATGGCGTGCGAACGTGGGCGCTGCGCTGGATGTTGGTGGTGATGCACGCAAGCTAGACAACGGGTTGAAGACCTTTCCTTTAGTGAATATGCCAAATTTGGCGTTTGTCGTTTGGAGATCGTTGGCAGCAGTGCTTAAGAACGCATGGCTTGTATCATAAAAACCTTGGGACACATTGGATCGTCTTGTGACAACATTGGAAGCGGACGCTGTCACGTAGCGGACAGCATTGCAAGTTGTTTGAAGCCCATTGCGGTATCCTGGGATATATGGGGACGCTGCACATGGAATAGCAATATTCATGCACGTGACGATGGGCGCCAGCGCAGTGTCGTAAACCGCATGGCATGCCATGCAGACATGCCCAATTGTGCATTGAAGGAAAATAGAGCCCATTGCAATGGGCTCCATTTCCCTTCAACAATACTCCAATTTTCGGTGTTTCCGAGGTTTTGGGACGACGTGGCCTTTATGCAATGCGGATTGGACCACATTGGATCACACACCAGGCACACATCCGGGGGACAGATTTCCCATGACCTCAGGGAACAACACCCTTGCGCGTGCTCCGCCCTCCAGCCGCCCACCGAGCTATTTCCCAGAGCTTCCCCGCTGCGTGGCTACCGGCGTGTTCCTACTTGATAGAAATATGTATTAATTATTCTTGAAATTCTTTGTTCGAAAGCGAAGATATTTCACATAACAAGTGAAAATGTGCAAAGTGTGAAGAATGGAAATCGCCGAACTGTGTGAGCGCCGTTGGTACCTCAAAAACGCTTCCATTTGGTTGTCATTGGAATTCGACTGACCATGCAGTGCAGCAGCTGCCATTGTAAGGTGTTTCCCATGGCCACCCATGTCTGCATGCCAAGTGGCACGTTAGCCACATTTATTGCTGCCATTCATATTATATTGGCCATAAGTCCTTTTGTCATCCACTTCTGGATGGAGCTGGTGAACACTGCCATATTCCAAAACACCCGTAACACTGCGACGCTAGCCTTGGCCGAGGAGAGAAAACACCTATGTGGCTTTGATGATTAGTACATACGGTCAAATTTTTCCTCTTTCCCACTATCTTTTCATGGTCACCGCAATTCTACCATTGCTGTTCCGGTGCCACTGGAGCGTGCGCAACACTCCCTGCGCACGGCGTGGCGAAAGTGCCCTGTGGCCAACAGCCCGATGAGGAAGTTAGTAAACATCGTCTTGGAAATTTGTAGTGGGGGTTCCACATTGTCACAGCCCATTCATTTTGTGGGAGTTTCAATAGGAATGAAGTCTCAACGTGGGGTAGTCAATACGATACTCAGTGCTGACGTGGGTGTGTTTGAAACATGATAGGGAAACGAAATGAAGTTGAATGATTGGGGTGTGATGAAAACAACGTATTCTAGGAGATGAGGTTGTTGAAGATGTTCAGGGGAGGCCTTTTGAACGGGAAATCCTCGGCAATTACTCGTGGTGGCGAAGTTGGCAAGGCGCTGGCCTGGCCTGGGAGCAGTTGTTCTGGCACAGTGCGCACGCTGGGCACGCGCGGCTCAACCTGGCCAACAGGATGGGGATGGTGAAGGCGTCGCTGGTACAGTGGCTTGCACCTTTGCGAGGCGCTTTCGCAGCTGGGAATCAGCATCGATGCAGCGCCACCAGCGGACCCCAAGCCCCGTAAGGGCCACCTTTGAAAAGCGCGGACATCGTTCGTTGCGACAAGATGCGCTGCAGCAAGTACGCGTACCGGCGTGTCGGTGGCAGACGTGCTCGACGGCCTTATCTGTGGACAGGGGAGCACACATCTGCCCCGATGCCAGGGACTGCGTGTTGTTGATGTGGATAATTGTCTCAATCGATTAAGTGCCCGTTCTGGCAGGTGTGCTCGCGGCAGGTGGAGCCTGAGATGCCCGATTGGAATGAGGATTTGGTGAACACGCCATGCCCAATCTTGCAGGGGGATCCGTGGCGGCGGGTCGCACGGGGGGAGCTACAAAACGCCATACATTGCATGGTCTGAGTAGCTGCCAATTCACGCCAAACATATTCATCATGTTCCAGGCACAGCCCATGTATGATTTGCTCCTCTGGGGATCATGATTTTTTCCAACGCAGCTCCTTGATTGCATCAAACGACGTTGACAGTTCTGAAGGGGTTGCACGCTGGACATTCCAGGGAACAGTGCCACTCACCACTGGAGCAATTTAGCCGCAGAAATGGTCACACACCTGCCCAGCGATTCAGAAAGGCTGCTGGATATTGACGATTCTCAACCACTCCCTTGCAAGTGATGCACATGGCAACTTGTGCATGTGCAAGCATTGTGGCAAAATGCTCATTGGGAGCCCAACTATCCGAGTTTTGTAGTCCATCTCTGTTTCCCTCACAGCCCGTTGTGTTGCGCACAGGTCTCTGGTTGTGGCATTGAGCTCGACCTCAAATACCTAAAGCGGTTCCGTCTGTGCAGGGAGCACATCAGGTCTTTGATGCTCCTCTCTGGTGACCAGCCCTTGCGTTTTTGCCAGCGTTGCAACAAACTGCAGCCTTTGGAGGACTTCATTGGTGACCACAGGTATGCACTTATCTCTTGTGGACTGACGATTGCCTCTTGACAGAAGGTAATTCTGCTGTGAAATCGCCACTGCCTTGTTTCCATTTTGGTGATGAACGACTTTCTTGCACATGTGTGCATTTTGGTCCACATGTTTTCGAAGGTTTGTTTGGTTGGTTCTTGTTTGTTGCAAAATAGCTTAACAGTCACGCTTGCTTTCGTATGTGAGAGTGCATGGCATGATTTGGACTTCTTGCATTAATTTAAGTGTGTCGAGAAACAGTTCCAGAAGTTGCCTAACGCCAGAAGCAACAAAGTGCTGCTATGGTTTGGCAAAATGTAGTCAATCTCGTTGTCTTCGATTTGCAAACGCATGTCAAACGCTGAGAGACAAAGCTTACATACCTTCTGTTAGTACGGGTCTGGCAATAGGAATTTAAAATCTGATGTGATGGACTAGAAAAGCCTCCATCCGGTCCCTGGTGTGTCATCCTTAATGGCTGGCACTGCAGGGTCATGAGTTATCTTTTCAACAGAAGCATTACTTGCAGCTGCACCATATCAGCTTGGTCTTGATCGTGGTGGGATTATCTGTTGTTCATAGCACAGCAATTTAGACATGACTAAAGTGCTTTGCTGCCCTGGGTTGCAGGAGTTGTAAGTGGATGGGCAAACGTCCACTCAGTTCATTACGACGCCGTGCCAAAGTGCCGGTTACACCCAGGCATGAAAATGCCACTGTGTTTCAAAGTCCTGAACCTGAACTCAGTCAAGCCCTTCGGAGCGACGAGGTTGCTTCAGGCAGCCATGCAGGTAGCAGTGCAGCGACATGACAGGCTGTCAACAACCATCGTGCTCAGTATTTAGCCTTGGCTATGTGTTAGAGCCATTTTCCCACGTTTCGTGAAGTTCTTTTAGGTTTCAGGGCTTGCAGCTTGCTTGGTGTTTAGCGCAGGTGCTGGAAACGATGCCAGCACAATGTACATGGTGAAAGTGAGGGACATGACCACCAGGTTGATTAGGTGACCTTTTTGTATTGTTGCCAAGAGCATATTGGCCTGAGTGGTTTCTCAAGTGGCAATGATGAACAGCCATTGGAAAGGTGTCGATGGACACAGTGTTAGTCGCATCCTACTGTTGAATTCGCCATTATGCACTGAGTGACGCGTGATCGACATTCAGTGATTTGATTCTGTGGCACGGCAACAAGGCTATTCAGGGATTTGACATGGACAGCTTTGCTAACAGGTGGAAAACGCGCTGGCAGTTTGGAAATGGAGAGGTCACAGGTTGAGATTCGTTCAATGCAAAACACCCACCACGTGCGTGCATGAACAGTGCAATTGCGATCGCAAGAAAAGTAGAGCTACAGCCAAGAGGTCCTAGAAATGCTTTGTGTTTACAGCACGTATAGCTTCTGCCCTCCGTGGACGGTTCATGAGTATTGTGAGTATTTCAGCCGGAACCATCCTGAAAGGCAGAGTTTTCCACGAAGTACTACAAAAATTGCAGGAAACAGGCTGCACAACGCAGAATCAAGGAAAGAGAAAATGAGCGGCCAGTTTAGCGTCATACGTAGGGCCTCGCGGAGGCCGCCTCAATCACTTTGAGTATAATCCTACGGGTGTACGTACACCAGGTACACATCATGTGCACACGTTCCACGTGCTAATTGACTGCCAGGCTCTCGGACTACAGAAAATGACAGCCTTGTAACATGCGACATCTGGGCAATACAATGACCGAGCGAGGGATGGGTGGGCCACGTCCATGTGGCAAGGTACTTTCAAGCTGATAGTCGGCAATTGCCATACGACATTTGGCATTCAGCAAACCACCCAAAGCTCAGACCTCTTCACGGAAACGCAGAAACAGCAAAATAACGCTCCTTTGAAGCGCTGCGAAATGGAAAGAAACAAACAAAGAATAGCGATATCAGCATTCAGAAGCACAACAAATACAAAAAAAGCGATGCGATGAATCAGAAACAGCGATATCCAAACTTCGCGGCACGCGTATCAACAATGTAAAAGTAGGCTGTGTGATGTCGTTCATCTGGGCCACAAAGCATGGGGCCGGTGGAAGCAGACGGCAGCCTGGGGGGCAGGCCCAAGCCGCGGAGATTCCCTTCCAAAGGCCTCACATTATTGCCACAAAGAAGTGTCACGGATGCTGCAGCTGCCAGCCTTCACCACTGCAGTTGTTGCTTGCGAAGGGCCTGTCTTGTCGACCCATCCCTGATCGAACGCAAACGATCTTTCCCCCCCACCGAACAGTCTGCTGGCTGTGCCCAGAAAGTTGCAGGTCACGTGAGGGTTTTAACGATACCCTCGCCTTGTGAATGGGAAACAGGGAGTGGCAGTCCTGACGCAGAAGTACAACACCTCGAACCCTGTTTCGGGACAGCGATGTACCTCTCAGTAGTTTACAGTACTTTTGTATGTCACTTTCCCTGAACTGGAGCTCATTTATGCGAATCGAAAAAATGATGGCCCTGATACGAATAATAGTGTGGCATGTGCTCCACGCCGCTGGGAGGACGATGCCTTGCCCAGCGAATGACAGGTATACCCTGGTGGGCCAACACCGTGGGAATATTCCCACGAATGTTGGCCGTTAATGGATGCCGGGGGAACGCCACACCCCATCCCATGATCCTGCCGCGATGGACTGAGCCATGCTGCTGGCGCCTGCTCGCATCTGGGAGCCAGATGCGATCGCGTATGAATGGTGTATGTGGTCGTGGATCGGCACAAAAAAACGGTTGACGTTAGCCGTTCCAATGATCATGAGTCAGCTTGTGAACTTGTAATCAACTTGATGAACCTGTGATTAGCAGAATGACTGCAAGCGAACCACTGTGACTTGTTGTGAGAAGCTAGGCTGTTGGACTGCCAGGCGGGCCGGAGTTCTTTCGTTTGAGGCTGAGGTCTCGTTGCGATTCCAGGGTCTTTGGAGATTTGCCATGCCTTGCGCTAATTTGCGAGGTGGCGCAATGTACGCATCTCTTCTGTTAGGCGGGGCCGTGACTGTACTCTCAAATTTATTTTATTAATTTGGTGCCGTGGGTGCCGTTTGGTATCAGTGATGCCTGTGCCCATCGGCCCCCGCCGTATGTAACCCTCTTTCCAATTTACACTTGTTGTTCGACAAAACAGAGCCCCGCCATACGTGCATCGCGCACATTGCAGACCGAACCATAGCAATGGCGGGTAGGACCACAACAAAGATCCCATTCATCCCAGTCTGGCCAAATACAAACATAGGAAGGCTGGCGAAGAAGCAAACAATAGTTGTTGTCGTGATGAGCAACTTACCTAAATCGCAGGAAAATGCGCCACCGGGGCCAGAAAACAACGATAAGACAGCGAAGTCTCAAAAGCGAGAGTATCTGGCGCAGCATTCGACAGCCCACGGCGCTTCCACGGCACACGGCCCGCGCCCCGCCCAGCCTACAACGCATCTGCCCGCGGGGGCTCAACGCCCTCAACTCGACGGCGCCCCATGGTCCAAAATGCGGAACCCCCCGCCGGGGGCGTCGGTCCAGGTGGGCTGAACTTGCGAGGGCCGTGGCGAGGAGCACGGGGCGAGCGATTTTGGCGCCCGTTGCTGGGTACTTGAGCTCTGCCTCGCCTCTCATGGGGCCTGTGTTGTCGCTCCACCTGTGCCCACAGGGCGATCGAGCGGCGGACTGAGCGCAAGTACATACAGCGTTGGGCATTCTGTTTGTGGTCCCACAAACACGAAACAACAGCTCGATCCAAATGCAACACAATATTGGACCATGTGCCGTGTATCATGTACGCCCTCTTGTGTGAAACGCCGCATGATGGTATTTTGCATATGCATCCTTCAGTGGCGAGGACACATCCAGGACCGTGGCTGTGAATAGCTGCCATCCAGGTCACGTACATGAATGATTTCATGCATAAACATATATGAACTAAGCAAGACAATGCGATCTGGACAGCGATGGGCTTGGGCGGAGCTTGGCCTGGTTTTGTCGGTGTCGGTCGTTGCGGATGGCTGATCGCCAGAGGGTGGGACGGGGGTTTGGCCAGCCGCTTGTGAGTGGGTATGCCTGCGGGGCAATCGGCAATATCGCGATGTAGATATCGATATCGGGAAAACTTTTCCGGTGTGCGACACTCCCCGTCGATGGGCTGGGGGGCGCGATGGGCGCCCTGTGACGCTGTCCGGGGATCTGGATGGGTGCGTTGGCTGCGTTTTAGGCATTGCGCCGCCGTCGGTTATAGTCAACGGGTCCTTTTTCTGCCACATATATGTTCTGATAAGGCCATAAGCAGTGATGCGGGTCGCCATGCGCTCGATGGCCCCAAAATGTCGGCCCCCAAATTGGGACTCCCAATCGCCGCCGTATGGACACGGTCGGCTAGAAATCTTGCTGTATTGCATATTTGTTTTGGAATTTGCAATATGTTTGCACTGTCAAATGATAGCATGAACTGGGACCACCTAATTAGTAGGTTTCTTTTATGAAATAAAGCAACTTTGTGCTCGCGATCGCCACAGACTCTGAGCAAATGCAAGCCAGCTCCATTGGGACACATGGGGTTCGAGCGAGGGCGGAGGATATTGGTCGCAAGGTGAGTGCCGTCAGCGAAAATAAAGGCAATGCTACAAAGCACAGGATAGTCGAAATCACCAAATTTCATTGGTGTGATATTCACGACTCATCCGACCATCTCCTCTCAGAATTTGTCAAAAGCATGGTGCCAGATCCGCGATTAAACTACCCCGCATAAGGGCCCTTCTGACACTCAAACCGCCAGTGCACTAATTTCCTAGCGTCGCCGACTGCTGAAACACAGGACGGAGCCTTGTCGACTGGAACATTTCCTTGCCAATCCCCATCGCGCTATTCCAGCAGTCCTTTTCTAAATTTGGCCGGTGGCAATCGCGACATTGACATAAATAGTCGATGAGCATCTGCGGCATATATCCTTAAGAACCAAGTTACGTAAACTCTGCAAATAGAGTGAACGGGGATGGCTGTTCGGCTCTGCAGAAGACGGAGCACTATGCACGATTTGTGACTGCTCCGGAAGCTGTTGGGCATCGCCATGCACGCCCTGCCCCTCGACATATTGAGTGTGCATTTGGGATGCCCCAAACCTTTGCCACCCGTGAGAGAAAGAACGGTCGAAGACGTACCCCTCGCCGATCTAACATTTAATGTGTTGCGTGCGCATGACGACAACCGAAGGTCACCGATCTCATGGCAAGTGAGTGATTGGCCTCCGCATATGCTCAATCTTTGCTGATTGACTGTTCCCCGAGAATGGATTTAATGCCACATGGCTCACGATGTAGTGGAATGTTATGATTCAAAAAAGATAGGCATCGACAGCAGTAGGTATCATAACTGCGTACAGGCTTCCCAGAACGCGAATCGAAAACATGTGCATAACGTGTACAATTCGTTTCCCATTTAAGTACGTGTAACACAACCAATACACCGTATTGTGAAGTTCAGTGTAGCGTAGAAAGCAGACCGCGTAGGAAATTGTATTGAACGTTCATAAAGGTGTCAACGTGGGACGCCTGATGATTGGTAACTGGCCGCCGCAGTCGTGGGCGACATTCTCGACAACTTGAAGACGCACATGCTGTCCACCATGGAGAGGTGAGCTGAATGCAAAAGGGCTCTGAAGCACTGAGTACATTGCGACACCTACACGCTTCTGTATCCGTGCTTCATTCAAATTAACAACTTCCCTATTAACCAATTGCGTAGTGCGTTGTTGCCGGCAGGTAGAATATGCTGCGGACTGCTGGAAATTGCTGGAAATGGAAATTTTGTCGCCTCCGGGGCGGGGTGTTTTGATTGATCCATAGATCATTGGCCGATGGGCATTTCTTTGTAGCCTAATGCGTACTCTTTCTCATTAGATATCCCCTCAAACAGTAAATTTCCCATTGTCCACATATTTCTATGATAGATTTTTACATTCCAGCAATATTTCGATGTACGCGCTGTGCAATAGGGATTTAAATGACGAAATCGCCCGGCATTTCCGCTGTCGACTCGACATCGGATGTTCCGTGCGTCTTGCGAATCTGCAGCACATTTTGCAACTTGAAACTATGCATTGCCATTCTGCCAACGCACGATTATCAGTAATAGACACCTGCTCAGATATTTTGAAGCAGTTAACTCGCGAAACGATTTACTTTGATCTGTCATAGAAAGAAGTGCTCGTCCCAATTACAGAGAAAAAAGATTCTTGTTCCAAAACAGAGCACTCCGCTTTGGATATGTTATTTCACCTAAATGGTTCGAAAATGCTTGTGCCAGACCTACTTCGCCCCAGAGCACCTTTCAAAACTCCCCGGGCCTCTCCTCTCCCTGCATTCCGGCTTCGAGAAAATTGCGCTGCACGTCCACCTTTTGAGGATTCACATGTTAGCCTCCTTCATAATGCGTTAAGGCAACTCATTCACCTGTCCTAATCTGTACATGAAACTCGAGGTTTTGCACACAAGTCTCTTCTTGTGCTTGACCTCAGCTTCAAAGGCGACGTGTGCGCATACGCCGGCGAGATGGAGGCCCAGTGCGCCCAGTTGAACAGCGAGGCAAAAGAATCGTCCGAGAGGCTCATCTCTGCGCAGCATCTCGTGAGGTCCCTGGGGCTGGAGACGCATCAAGATGGGGGCACCGCCAGTACTGGTGAACAAGTGTAGCACTGGCGATGCGATAGCAATTTGCCCCGAACGGCATTTTGCCAGTTCCTTGCGGCTGGGGAGGCGTCAAGATGGGGCAGCCCCCGTTGGGCGGCAAGCGCAGCACGTCCGATCGGACTGCAAAGTGACCTGCAACGGGTAGAAATTGAAAAGCTCAATTGCAGATATTGCAGTTCAAAACTTCAGCCAAATGTGAGTCTGATCAAATTGTAAGAGAAGGCTTCCTTTCGCATTTCGATGCAATTTCTAATCGCGATGCAGCTTGAGTGGAATATCGTGGGGGTGGTCGCTGCGGGTGTGGAATTATGGCCCTCGCAATTGGCAATTCGCGGATGATGTTAAAATCTAGCACTTGGTGGGCCGCCAGGCAGCGCCCTTCGCAGTACCTCAAACCTCCATAGGGCTACCCTGCCTGAAATCGGTGAATACTTTAAGATGCATTGCGGATCGCACAGAAGTGTCCTCGTACTCCCTGTGCGCGGGATGTCCACTGCAAAATTACGCATTCCGCCTGGTGCGGGGCAATTCCCAATCAAGAGCTGGCTGTATGCGAGTCTTTCTGTTCCTCAGCCTTTTGTTAATACACCAGTGGAAAAGAAAAGTGGCGGCATATGAGGATGGCGGTTCCTCGAAATGTGTGAGCACCATGCGAGAGAGCGCGCCATTGATGGTAGCCATCGTCTGATGCCCCCGACATCGCCCAGGATGCACACGGGCGGCAGTTTCATGTTCAGAAAGTGGCGTAAAGGCGGGCTTGCCCATCCGAATATCTCTGCCATTAGCACTGCTTCAGGAAATCGTGGTACAAGTCTTACTACTTGATGACACTGAGTTGTACCAATTTTTCCCTAGTGGGGTTATAGATGAATGCTGTGCTGATGAAACACACTTTCAAGTGCCGTCTGGGCGCTTGTTTCCAAAAATTTACCCCTGAAAATACTGTTCAATGTCTCAACTGTTTCCTGTGAAACATCGCGCCAGAAACAAATCAAGAATGCGCAATATTGTTTCACTTGAAGACAGTGCTGTGCTCATACTATGATGAGCAATTTGCCTTATGCAACTGAATAATAAACAAAAGGAATTGGGGCAATGAATTAAATCAATTAAAATCAGTCAAACGACAATTTTCAGAAACAAAGCACAATTTGATGCACAGTTGCAAACGTGCGGAAGGGCTTCTTGTTCACCAATGACCCATTGATTGACCATGACAGCAGCGAGGATCATTTGATGGAAGAGTCTTCAATTCTCGATGCTCTGATGCATGCTTAGTTTTTACGTCTACGTTTACTTGTTTTCTGCTCACGTTCTTACGTTCACGTTTGTTAGTTGTACATTTTTACGTTTGCGTTTTTACCCGCAGAAACGTAAATTTGCAAAAGGAGCTATTTTGGCGGCTGTATTGACGTATTCTGAAAGCTCGTCGGGACACCCAGGTCAAACGAGGAACTTCCTCGGAGGAAGTCGCAAACAATGAAAAGCCCTCCGCCTCCTGAGCCCCCGCAACACAACGACCACCTCGCCCTTGGCAAGGGCAAAGACGTCGTCGAACAGAAGGTCGTTCTCAGCCCACTCCAGCGTATCTAGCTGCCACTCCCCGGACATCATCAGTCTGCACGTACTGTCTCTATGCACACCTCAAATGGTCAAATTTTACGTTATTTTAGGCGTATCTGCGCGCAAAAACGTTAATATTATTCACACGCGCAAATGCTCAGTGTTCATGACGTAAACACCGGTGCCACGACGGGAGGTGTCCATTGTGTGCGCGTGGAGTTTGAAAACACCCACGCAAGGGCGGGCCGCGCAGGCAGGTAAGCACAAAGACCGAGCCTGCTGCGACAGAGGTTGCGCTGTGCAGCAGGTGGTCACACGCTGTCATCTCGACGTCTGCCGGGGCGCACGCGGGGAGGCCCGGCCGCCTGCCCTGCGCTTATAAAGGGCCCGTTGCCCCCGGTACGGTGCGCCTCGGCCGCAAAGCCATAACGGGCACCACCACAAGTCGCGGAAACGCGAGCAGACGCTGAGGCTGCCCACACCCGCTGCCGGCGAAGGAGACCACCTGTGTTGATACCGGGGCCATGTCGGCAAAGCTCCCCCGGGTCCCGTTGGGACAGCAGGGCATGATGGTGTCCGCCCAGGGCTTGGGCTGCATGGGCATGAGCGCCGCTTATGGGGGATACGAGGGCGAGGAAGCGCAGTCGGAGGCCCTGGCTGTCATCGACAGGGCGCTGGAACTCGGGTGCACGTGCCTGGACACCGCGGAAGTTTACGGCCCGTACACGAACGAGGAGCTTGTCGGTGAGTCGGCAGCCACGTGGCGTTCCTTCTTGGCAGTTGGCGTGAAGTGCTTGATTGTCCCCTCTGTTTCTTGGGGTTGCTTTGGTTCGGGGTGACTCGAGAGGGGGTGTCAGGGTTGCACATGGGGCACCGCAGACCGCAGATCTTGCTGGTGAAATCGACACTCAGCTGTTGGTGGTCAAAGCCGTGTTAAAAAACTAGGAACCGCAGAGGAAGCGGAAGTTCTGTTTGTCGGACGCCTGGCGCAGCACACTGTCCCAGAGAATGGCAGTTGTGCCCTCAAAAGGCACCCCCGCCACAGCACCAATTAACGTCTACATCTCGCGCCCTCGCCACCCGCAAATTCGAGCCCAGCATCGACGACTGTTGGACTGGTGATCATCAGAGTGTGGCTTTGATCTGACAGGGCGTGCAATCAAGGGCAGAGCCGATCAATTTCAAGTCTGCACGAAATTCGGCTTCAAATTTGGGGATGGCCAGTTTACGGGTTTCGACTCGACTCCAGCCAATGTGCGGAAAGTCTGTGAGGAGAGCATGAAGCGGCTTGGGGTCGATTGCATCGATCTCTTCTACCAGCACCGTGTGGATCCCAATACGCCCATTGAAGACACCATCCGTGAATTGAAGGCAAGCACAGGAATTGTTTTATCGAAGTTGAGCTTTTTGATTGTTGTATTGTGAACAGCACGATGATTGCTTTGTGTTGCTGTTTTCATCTGTTTTATCACCACTGTGAACGACAACTTCTGAAGTTTGATTCTGGGCAGCCAAATGCAATCTGACTCTTCATTGCATGATCCTTTCTTCAGGCTCTTGTGGAAGAGGGCAAGGTGAAGTACATTGGTCTTTCAGAGGCAAGTGCTGCAGACATCCGGAAGGCACACGCCATTCATCCCATCACCGCATACCAGCTGGAGTGGTCACTGTGGACAAGAGATGCAGAGAAGGAGATCATACCCACCTGCAGGGAACTGGGTATCGGCCTTGTTGCTTACAGCCCCCTTGGGAGAGGTTTCTTGACTGGGGCAATAGCAAAGCCAGATGACCTAAGGTGAGCTTATTACTGCATGCTTGCTTGCAGTCCTGCATGAACTTTCTGCGCACATCGTGTTCACATGGTGCTGGTAGTCCCAGCGATTTTGCACAGCTGTCGAATCTGTGGACCATGAAAATGTCTTCAGTGTCGTGATGTGTTGGCAACTCAGTATTTTGCCCACAGAGCTCATGGACCTGTAGATGCTAAGAGGATGAAACAATACAACCCGCACTTGCTGCTGTTCGTATCCCTGCCAAATGGAATCTCGTGGAAATCAGTGAGACTTTCAAACAGTTTTCACCCACACAGCATGAGTTTATTGTCAATGTCCAGTTGGTGTTGCAAGGGTATTGAAGATTTCGTATGTTATCGTGTCCAAATATCGTTGAACCTGGTTTTGAGTGAGTTTTGCAAGGCTAGCCAACCAATTCTGTAGCACAGTGTTGAAATTTGGTTGGGGCTGCGGCAGTGAAATGTGTTTGTGGGCCACAAGTCTCGTGTCAATTGTAATTTTGAACGACAAAATGCTGCGACGAATTGCAGAAACACACAAGCCATCTGTCTCTGTGGTGGTGCAGATACCCTTCTTTCAGAGGCCAGGTACGACATGTGCCGTTTGAACCACTTTGAATCCATTTGACAGTAGTGGTGCTGGTGCTTCAACTGGCTTGAAGTGCTATCAGCACCTGATACCCAAGCAACTGTAGCAAGCTGTATTTGCTGTCCATTTGCACAATTATTAGCTGGCCGCCAGGACACACGAGTTTGGAAAGTGGTCAGATTTGTTTATGGTGGTTGACTTGTTGATCTCTTCATAGCGTCGTTGTGCACTCACGCCATTCCTCTGCATGCCTCTGTGTTGTAACAGCGAGGATGACTGGCGACGATCGAACCCGCGGTTCACTGCTGAAGCAATGGAAAAGAACAAGGTCTTGGTCGACAAAGTGAGGGCGATTGCTGAGAAGAAGGGTTGCACAGCTGCCCAGGTGGCACTAGCGTGGGTGCACCACCAAGGGAGTGATGTGGTGCCGATCCCTGGCACAAAGAGGGTCAAATACCTGCTAGACAACATTGGTGCTTATAACGTGAAGCTTTCGGCAGAAGATATGGAGGAGTTGAATTTTGCAGGGGAAGGCGTTGCTGGTGATCGTTACACCACTGAGCACATGAAGGCCTTTACGTTCCACTATGGCGCAGCCAACGTTTGATTTTGGGAAATGGTTGCATTTTTGTCACAATGGTCTTCCACAGGACGCTGTTATGGGCCGTCTGAGCACAGTGCTGATGGGTATCTGTGCTGACGTATGCTCAATGCAATGTTGAATCTATCTGCCTTTTTCGATGTTTCAGCATGTCTCTCCTGCCGACATGGGAATCCTAGGCTGCGAATTTGGGACCCTTTCGAAGCATGCGAGCTGTCTTTCTGCGTTGCATCACGTACCTAATGATACACCACGTCCATCCAATAGTACCCCATCACCCAGGAGGTGCCATCAACCTCATCAGACAAGTTCTGACGTGCCGAATGGGCATTTGCCCCTCCAGGGCACCCACTGTATCCAGGCTTTGGCAACCGAGCGCTATTCACCACGCCCGACGGATGCCTGCAATGGTTTTGTCTAATGCCACCGTTCGTGGGGCCTTGACCATCGGTGCACGCGGTTGGCAGCCAGCATGAACCGTGGCAGGAGCGTTACCAAGTGCAGCCAGGCACCCTTGTCATTTCTATGGTTCTGGGGATGCACATGAGGGCACTACACCAAGTTTTGGCATGCATTGGCAATGGTAATGACCGCCTTTTTAATTGTTCCTTGTGTTGTGCGCTCATCTGATAGAATGTCTACCAGAGTAAATTATTGGTGCGGCTCGCTGGCGGGGGCATCACCCTCCGCGCTGAAAAGGCGTTCTACAACCTGTGACCAGGTTCGACCATTGCAGGCATACGCAGGATTATTTCATATCAGTCCAGAAGTTGGGCCTTGGGCCCATTGTTCTCCACTTTTGTCGTCCCCATTTTATCAAATAGAACCACTTACAATCTGCAGGTTCTTTTTTCGTTTATGGAATAGGGAGGCGTCTTTGGAATGATGGCATTTGCACTTTTCTCCCCGAGCTCACGCCCGCGCAGTCACAGTCAATGGCCCAACAACCGAGGCCCCCGCGCCCTTCCTCCTTCATCGATGCAATTCGCCACTATCGCCAGAATGCGTCGCACGATAGGTGGCCCGCCCTCCCCACCAAGGAATCCCCATGCGATGGGGAGTCGTTGCTCACTTCCCGACATTCCCTCTTGCCCACCCATTGAAACACCGGCCCTATTCCCTGTGCCACCACTTGGGCCCTAAGGCAAGCCTAGCATTTCCTTGGAGTCAGAAATCCATAACAGGGGGGAAAACCAAACATGCTTGCTTAACACATTGCAGCATTGACCAAGTTAGAGCACGTTAACGTGATCTAAGATCATAACGTTATGATCTTAGAACAACCTATATCGTTCATAAAGTCAGGGGGGAATTGATTGCATGAATATTCGATTCTGTAGGGCAGCCTGTTGTGAGCAACTAACCACTTGGTGGTCATTTGCATGCCCCAGTAGTTATGCAACAGCTACACATTCAAGCCTGTTGTTGCGCATGGTGTGTCATGACAGCCTGTGTTGTCTGGCAGCAAAGAGCTGGGGTGTCTGGATAACGCTTAGACAGTTGCTGTTCAACCTCTCAACCACAAGCTCTCCTTCCTGCACCTTGCATTACATTTGAATTGGCAGTATGTACTGTAGCCAACTGTATCACACGGAGGCCACCCTAACGGCTGAGGGTGGCGCGTGCACAGCCAACTCCACACTCACAAAGCCTGCCTTCAGCGGCAAAGGGATCTCGTGAGGCGTCATGAACAAGTCGTGGCGGCTCCTCGGGCGACCTACAGTTGCCAGGCGTTGACGATCGTCGGCAGCGGTCCAACCCTCGGATCCCATGAGATCTCCCGATTCGCGAGTTGAAGCCCCGCGCACCGCGACCCAGCACGAGGCCGATCGCCAGAGGCATGGGCAGAGAGGACCGGGTCACAGATCGGCGCAGCAAACCAGCCCGCGCAAAAGCACAAGGCGCAGATTCAAAACTGGGCGCTGCCGTTCCTGCGAATCTACGGACTGCCAAAGATCGATGGATTCGCAACGATCAACGCCGGAGGCACAGGAAATCGGCAAGACACTCTGCAGGACGGCCGCAGACCCCGCCAAACCTCTCCGCTGCTGCCCTCTCTGAAAAGCATGGCGGTGGCTTTCCCACACGCACTTGGACCTGCGGGGCTCAAAGGCACCTGCTCAGGAAAACGCCGCGTTCGAAACACGCCACTGCTCTTGGACCCAGGAGAGACAAGCAATGGCGCATTTGCCGATCTGTGTGCTCACTGCACCTCCAATTCCACGGTCGTGCAGGCCGATAGCCCGGCAGCCAGACAAGGAGCGGCGGTGCTCAACAGCACAAGACTCGCTTTGCGACTGTGCAGCGCACTGTGTCTCTAGCAGGCTTGGTTTTTACGCCGTAAAACTTGATCGTATTTACGTTTTTACGCGTAAAAATGCGTAAAAACAACACAAATACACGTAAATACAACGCAAAAACTGCCCGCTGTACATAAGGACAGTACACACAGACTTACGGAGTCCGGAGAATGGCAGCCAGACGCCCTGGAAGGGGCAGAAAACGAGTTTTTGTTACACACCATCATCGCCCTTGCCAAGGGCTAGGTGGGCATTGTGTTGCAGGTGCTAGATATGGCGGAGAACTGATCATTGTACGCAACTTTCATCGTGTAATCTGGGCGTCCCAGGGAGCCGTAAAAACGTAAAAATGGCCGTAAAAATAGGGCCTTTTGCAAATTCACGTTTTTACGCGTAAAAACGTGAAAGCAAAAACGTAAACGCAAAAACCAAACCTTGTCTCTAGAATGCAGCACAGCCATCAAACACAGCCCTTGCCCATGCAGCGTTTTCATGCGGCGCACGGATCCATGTGGATGGCGTCTGTGCCCTTGGGCTCAATTCCTCGGCGGCGGATCTGGAGGCCCTTTGCGCTTGAGTAACGAAGCGGTGGTGCGTTCTTCACGGGCCTTGTGTGGTCACATTGTCATTGCAACCGTTATAAATTGCACCCATTATATAAACTAAACCTGTTGATATATTAACAGAACTCATTCTCGCCGTCAGCACCCCCGATGGTGCGGCGCACGTGGTTCGCGATCACGATGCCGTGGGGGAAGTCTGGCCTTGTTGTGCAATGTTGCCAATATACCGTACCTCGTATCGAGCCACATAAGGGTGGCGGATGTACTGTCCGTAACCCGCTGCTTATCAACACGGACTTGGTGCACCTTGTTCCACGCCGAGTTCTAAATGGCTTCCTACTCATGTGGTACCTTGAAGAGGCGCAGCGATCCAGTGACTTACCAACCTCTCCTTGTTCGTTCTGCTGTTCGACTGAGAGCAACAGCGTCAAATGAGCCATCTGAAATAATTCACTCCTATGAACGGCTTGGGTTCACCCTTGCGGCGTGCAAAACTCAGTTGGAACAAGAGGTCAGCAGAGCGGAACTTGCACCGAGCTCGACAAGGTGCGCAAACTCGGCAACCCTGGTAACCAGGTAGAATTTGGCAGTACAGAGCGACTAATCTCATTCTTTTGAAAGGGAGAAACCACTGAATCGTGCGAGTGCCGCTTCAACCGCTAATGCGCTTCTTTTCGGATGCGACTCACTTGGTCGGTTGGACGCACCGTCACTCTGGTAACCTGGACTGCGTGGTCATGCCCAAGCACTGCAATAGAACCCCAATGCAGGGCGCGCCCGTGGCGGCCGCCGTCTGCTCAAAAACGAATAGAGACTTCGTATGGGAAACTTAAGCAAAGGAATGGACTAATAAAAGAGTGGCAACCACCACCGTCACTGACACTGCTCTCCATTTGGGCGTAGCGCTTTTAGCCGTGGTGGCAAAAAAGCAGTTGGCATAAAACTATTGGCCTTAGTTTTCGCGCGGGCCTAACTCGAAGCCTCGGAAACGAAATTCGCAGTTTTATCTCCTGGTGTTCAGCCACATGGCACTTCGAAGTGCCAAAAGTGCCGAATTCGGCTCACTGCACACGCTGGGTACACGCTCCGTGGCACGGCAGTTTAAACGCAGAATCGGGGGGATCCATAAGTAAGTTGGTACAGACCAGCAAATCGAAAAGACATATAGATGACCAGTACCATGTCGGTGTGATGTTTACCTCCGTGGCTGGCATGGCAACAACAAGAGATGCTTTCAAAGCACGCCCTTGCCATTCTGAAACGGCCAGTTTACGGGGTGCCTAAAGCTGCCAAGCATTGCCCATTCACGCAGCTTCTGACCGTGTTCAAAATGGATAAAATTGTGTAATTGAAGCCATCAAACTGTTGCCTGAATGGATTACAAACAATACGATGATCATTGTGCGACAATTATTATCGATACACGCATGGCTGAATATATGGAAAGTCTCATGCACCTGTGGTTCACTGCACCTCAACATAAAATCCCACTTCCCAACACAAAGAACGAAATAATGATAGAGTAAGGGAATGAATGAAGAGGTGGAAAGAAGCTCAAAATAATGAGAACTGGTTTGCTGTGGCAGCAAGACCCGAGTGCGCACCGACAGCGCCCTCATGTGGTCGATCAATTAGGCGGACCGTTGATTCTCTCATTAATGGCCGTGACTTCGACCGTTATCTATACAGATTAGATTCGCAGGACGCCACAAAATTTGTGGCGTGAACCATCACTGATCGATTAGTAACGGTTATTTCTTCCAGCCCCGGTTGAGAGTGCCCTTTCACAGCAGATAGCCAGCAAGCAGCGTTGTTTTGCAGCTCTGTTCGCCAGCGATCGAAGATTTCTGGAGAGTCATAGTCTCCAGGAAGGTGGCGCTTGCGTCCAGCAGTGTTTTCTCAACATTGTGAAATTCGCAAGCGCTTAACGCTCAGAATATCATGCACTATTTTGCGCATCGTTAACGAGGCAGTAACTAATCATCGCTGCAGTAGTCTTGCCCATGGCATTCGCAATTTCGGCGTCATGGTGCTCGAAGACAGCTCATCGCGCAGCACTCCTAGTTCTGGCCATGGGTACACTGGCCAAAACTTTGCGCTTTTGCAACAACGCGTATATTCAACTCCGTACCAAATAATATGGAATCTGGTACCAAACTACCACCGTACGAAATACATTGAAACTAGCACCATCGCATATTGAATCTGGTACCAAATCTCACGGGTACGAAAATGTTGAACGATGCGACAAAAAATGTTGAACCAGTATCAATTAGTCATCGAATGGCAGTCTACGACCAGTCCTGTGACCAGCATTGGAGTTGCCCTTGGCTTAGGGCTTAGGGTTTACGGTTTATGAGCCCTTATGGTGGCAGCGATTTGATGACCATTTAGCACCAGTACTAAATGGTCTAAACCAGTCAGGTCCAACATGTTCTGTTACACCGTTCAACAGTTTTGTTACCGGCACGAGTTTGGTACCAGATTCAGTATGCGTTGCTACTAGTTTTAACTTTATTTGGTACGTTGGAAGTTTGAAATCAGATTCAATATTTTTTGGTGCTATTTCAAATTCATTTGGTTCAGTGGCAGTTTGGTACCAGATTCAATACGTTTTGGTACTGAGTTAAATATGTTCCTTTGCACAATTCTATCCTTCGCATAATATCTCGCATGAAACTCTGGTGGTTGCGCTGCGGACTGCTGCAAAATTGGACCGTCCAATTTTCCCCCGGGGAGCCTTTACCCGCGTTCTCGCCTACTATTGGAATCGAATCGGTTTGGATCGATTCGAATATTCTGATCGCCCAATGTATACCCAAACTGGATAATCATGTGGTATGCGCACACGCCAGTGGTGCACCTACAGGGATAGGCGGCCTATCCCTGCAGATGAGCGGGGATAACAAAAGATGTGAGGGACGGACCAGCACAAAAACATGCCAGCAGGAAAGCAAAAGAACGGCGGCGCTCCTGTCGAGTCGAGACCGGAACGATTCCGAAACGGGCTCTCTTGAAAGCAGGGGCCTTAAGGGAAGCTTTGGGTTCAATGGAACTATTTGGCAACCTTGCGTCTGCACCGACAACTCGGCGCGGGCACGACTCTCAGGTGGTCTCCCATTTGTTGACACAGACACTGGCGCTCTTCAGGCGGTCTGCGTTCTACTCATCAGTGAGAAGACATGGAGGAATCAGTGAGCAGACACGGAGGAATCAGTGAGCAGATCACAGAGCAATCAACCAACCATTGGTCGCAAAGGAGACAGGGGACAAGCATCTCCCTGCCCAGCCAAGGGGGTCGCGGCGACATCGAGGCCGCTGATAGCACAGATGCCGCTGCTCCATTCCTGGCCACCTAGCTTCAACCCCCGGCGATTCTCACACGCCACCCGTTCAATCTAAGCCGCCGTCCGTTACCCGTTACGCGTTACCCTCTATCCGCCGTTCGTAAAAAGAATTGTGCCTCAGGACAGTATTGTCCCGAGCCACCTTCGGCACGCGCGGCGGACGTCAATCCCACAATCAATCACTGCATCGGAAAAATTCCTCAAGAACAACGAGCCTGGGGAGCCTTGGACCAGATGCCAGACGGCATACTATCTTACCGCCCATAGCACTACAATCTATTGTACTATCTACAGCGGCTGCCTCGTTGTGTCAGAACTTAATGATGCTGACGACCGGATGTGAGGTGGACCTCCAAGGACACAGTGCTGAAGTGCAGCCGGTAAAGCGAGGATGACTGAGCCGGGGAGCGAATCAGGCACCTCTGATCGGACGGCCCACTCCTCTGCGGACCGCCTGCCAAAAACGGCAACGAAAGAGGGCAGGTGCACTCACTTGAGTACTCAAGAGTACCATTAGTGGTGGAATGTTCCACCCGACACCCACATAGCTGGCGGCGAACGCCAGGTACAGCCGCGATCAAATGCGCGCCACCCCCTCGCGGGCTTGACGAGGATGATGGAGCACTACGATCGCGTGGCCCCGAACGACTCCATTACCCCGCGCGCGATAAAATATCAAAACAACGAACGATAAAAGGGGGAACCATGTGTCAACTTGTTGGGCGCGGCCTCCTCCCAGCCACCCCCCTCATCCATTTGAAGGGGTCCAGATTTGCGTCGGCCCCCGTGGGCTCGATATCCCCCATCGCGGGTTTAGTCACGTCCCGGCGGTACGCCCGCCAACAGCCCAAGGCGACGTTACGTACGGGCATTAGTACCTCGCGCACTCTACAACGGGCGCAATGGGGACGCTCACGGGCCTCGGACGACCTGTACTTGGCGACGCGGACAGCTGCCCATCCGCGCCTCAGCCCGGGCCAGCCCCCCATGCCCTGAGGTGCCACGCACGAGAGCCACTCGCTCTTGGCAGCCCTCAGCGCCCCTCCTCGGGCTGCCAGCTCCCGGTGGGGCGGTTTTTCCGCGCCCATTGATTTGGCTGCGGATCTCGCCGTCGTCTGGGGCGGCGCATGCCAGGCCGATAGCAGCCGGTGAGCTGGAAGACTCCCGTTTGTTGAGCCGCGACAATCGCTGGCCCTGGTGCGAATGTTGACGCGCAGGAGGGATCAGAGGTTTCGTTGCCCGCGGTCTTGGCAACTACGGCGTCGCGCAGTCGCTCGGGGTTTGGATTTGCTGATGTGCTGGCCCTCAGCGGGACGTGCAGGGTTGTCGGGTCGGAGGATGCCGGATTGCCGGCGGCCGCCCTGAGGCGAGCCCTGCTGCGGTTTGGCGACGAAACGAGAGCCAAAGCACCGGGGCCCTTATCGTGCTCTGCGCTCCTTTGTCGGGATGTTGGCGGCATTGGGGTGTGCATGAAGCAGGCAGCTGGCGGGCAGGTCGAGCGGCCCCGGCCTGCCACCTCGCGTACGGGGGATTGTTGTCCCCGGCCCAGGAACAAACGGGCCTGGCGCACTGTCGCCCTGGAGGGTGCAGCCTGAGGGCTGTTGTTGGGCCGTTGGAGCCCGCGATGCGAGCCTCGCCTTTATTGGGGCCTCGCGTGGGTCCACGTTGCCGCTTGTGGCTGTCGGCCGCCCTGCCCTCTCGACCGTTCCCTTGCGTGGCGGATTGCGACTACAGGCGCTCTGCATGGAGCTAGCTCGAAGGAACGAGCCCGCGGAAGCGTGCGCAATGCCCGTCTCTCACGGCGGGCCAGTGGCTTAGGGAGCCTGCTGCGGTTCCACGGAGCTGCAGCGGCGGGCGTTTTGCCGCTTTGCCCTCTCGTCCGTTCCCGGATGCCGAACACGGGCGCCTTTCGTGGGATTTCGATCGAAGGGATGAGCTTGTTGAATCGTTCGCAGCGCGTGTCTCGCTCGTCCTGCCGGTAGCTGGAGAGGGGGGGCAAGGTGAATGCGGGTGACGGGCTCGACCCCGCGGGGCTCAGTTGTCCGGCAGTTTCTTTTCCCCTGGACTGACATCGGATCGGCATGGGCCCAGCTTGGCGGGGCGCCGGCCATTGGCGGCGGGAGCGGCGCAGCGCGCTCCCGTCGCCCCTGCCCTCATTTGCCTCCGGCGCCTTTCGGGATCGCGCAGAGGTAGCGGGCGCGGGCAAGGAGCCCGTCGGATGGCACGAGTTCGGGCCTGCGGTGGACGGGGTTGGGTGGCTGCCTCCGGCTTGCCGCCACAAAGCCTTGGCGGCCCCGGTGTCGTTGCTGAAGCCCGAACAAAAGGGGGGGGGGGGGGGGGGTGGCGGCGAACGGGAGAATCTCGTGGTTGCGTCTGAATGTTCGGATTGTTTGTTTGGGCGTGGCTCTGTTTTTGTGCCTTCGTCGTTGATCGCGAAATGGCGCTGGCCTGTTGTTTGGAGCGGTTTTCTTCAACGGTTTGGGCGCCTGGCGCGCTCCGTGCAATTTGCTGGGTGCCCTACTGGGCGTGTTTAGATGGTCGCCTTTGCTTTGGCGCGAAGCTTTTCCGTGCAATGGGGCTTCATAGACCTGATGGGACTGGAGTCTCCGGCCATTCGGTTTCCCCACTCCTCGATCTTCGAGAAGCGTATCGCGAGTTCCTTGGGGCTGTGTCCGCGGCGGCGGCTGTGCCCGCGGCGGCGGCTGTGCACAGGGGCATGGTTGTCGTCGACATGGCGCAGGCCACTGCGTGGCGTTCGCCTGGGGAGGTTCTTTGTGGACTGCGGAGCAAGCTCGTGTCCCCGTGTGAGAGACCAGGTGCTGTGGATGTGGGGAATTCTGCTGATCGTTTGGGTGTTTTTTTGTGGCAGGCGTGCTGAGGGCGTTGTGATGGCTGAGATGCCTGGTTGGGGAGAAGACATGGCAGAGGACATGCCAGGGGACATGGCAGGGGAGATGCCAGGGGAGATGCCAGGGGACATGCCAGGGGAGATGCCAGGGGAGATGCCAGGGAAGATGCCAGGGGACATGGCGGCTGCGCCTTTACCTGTCTTGTCGCCACAGGGCGACCCAAAGAAGAGGAGGTCTCGCCACAAAATCGGGCCCATCCTTTGTGATGTACGTGCAGCTGCCATTTCATTCCAAATGTGCTGTAGAACAGGATGGGCTCTGGAAATGTATTGTCTTGCGCTTGACAGTGCACAAACCTTACTGTGTTGTATCGTATGTTCCAGAGCACAAGAGCTCTTGTACTGATAGCCCAGTTGGGGATTCAGGCTTTGTGTCTGATGCAGTTTGATCGCTTTCATTGTTGAATGTTGAATGAATGTCTCAGTTGACAGGCGAGGGTACACACCAACACGCCAACTCACTAGCAACGCCAAGCGTCTATGCTGAACTCAATGATTGGATAGTGTCAGTTTGACAGAGGCCTATAGTGAAATCACACTCTCATCGAAAGCAAGACTATTGCAGCACTTACGCCAGTGAATATGTAAGACATGTTTGCGCAATGTTTAGGTGGGGCTGGTTGATGTCAAGAAATCGTGCCTGTGGCCCTACAAGGCGATCTGCACGGAAATTTGTGCATCGACATAGGCCATGTATTCAATGCCCATCTCAAAAATTGCTTACCTCGACCCTAATTTTACGAATTTTGGAGCCCACCACTGTTGTCCAACTCACTGGCTTTGTTGCTGTGCACAGGTCATTGGTTGTGGGGCTGAGATCGAGAGAAAATACCTGAAACGGTTCCGTCTGTGCCAAGAACACCACAGGTCTCTGGCGCTGGTCTCTGGGGACCAGCTTGTGCGATTTTGCCAGCAGTGCAACAAGCTCCATGATGTGAGGGAGTTCACTGGTGACCACAGGTAAGACCTTATCTAGTGACGATTGTCTTCTTTAATAGTTGACCCTGTTACTTGCTTTTTGTATTGAGTGCCTGGCTTGAATGTTAATGCCCCATCCTGGCGATCTACTGTCCCAAAATCTTGCTGTCTACTGTCCAGAATTCACTTGCACGATTAGGTGTCCCAAAATCTACTATTGTCCCAGAATTCACTTGCACCTGAAGGATCAACGTTTGGCTGCGGTTTGGCATGTGTAGCCAATAGGGTTGTCTCATTTTTGCAAGCTCCCATCATGAGGTGGCAAGCAAGGCTCACATCGTTTTATGTTGTGCTCCTGAATAAGATGTGATGGAATAAGGGAAACCACAATCGTGTGTGTGTCTTGGGTGCCTTCATGGCATGGTACTGTATGTGATTGCTGGGTAGTGTTCTACTAGAAGTATGACATGAAACTTAAGCATTTCTTTGGTCTTTGTCTTCCTATTCGTCGCAGCTAAACGAGAATGTGCATGGCTGATATGGGTATAATTGCCTTGCAGGAACTGCGACATTGCTCTCAGGAAGAGGCAGCGAAAAGGCAACAAGGCCACAGACAACAAGGCAGGTTTTGTTGCTGCTCTTGGTTGCTTGCATGCGCACTTGTGCAGTGTAGCAAGGCTGCAGCTCCACGAGTTGCTGCAGATTTGAAGTTTTGCCACGGCGAACCGGGCCCTGCGATGCAGCCTTGTTAAAGTGTGAAGGAAGCCACTCACGATTGAAGCAGGAGCTGATATGTTTAGTCAATGTGGATTCAAGCAGCAGAAGATATGCCTTGAGGTTGAAAAGCCTGGTGCAAATGTTCCTAAGTGGATTTTTGGACCATCCAGTGTGGCTGCAAAGTAGGTGTACGGTGTAATTTCTAGCATTCTGGATGCTGGCACACAACATTGCACAAGAGAATCATGGGTGATATGCAACCTGACAATGGTTGTTGTACTCTCAAGCAAGGAGTCAATTGAGATGCAGCAGCGAGAGGCCTGATGTGAACGAATTTGGTGTTCGATATGAAAGTTTCATGTGTGGATGTTGCTGATATAAAACAGCCCTTGAACATAAGACGCCTTGTGATGTTTCATGTCCCCTGGTGTCTAGATCAGCATCCTGACAGTGTGTCACTTGCATCGTTCAGGTGCGGAGCAAGAGCAGACTCGAGCCCATCCACTGCAGCGATCAGGATTCAAGCACTGTGGGCTCCGATTGCGATGGGCTAACATCTCCAAAACGTAGCAGGCCGTGCAGAGCGGACAACACCCCAGCACCTAGGGTGGTGTCCGTCTGCAAGGACGACGGAGATAGGCCATCCAGCATGGGCCGACCAGGCGCCAGAGATGGCAGGGACATCGACTCAGCCAACAACGATCCTGGGAAAGCCGGCTGTGGTGGTGGAAAGAGCAGTCCCAACTCTGTGACGCTCGACCACTGGTGGAGTGTGACGGAAGTGCGCAAACCAGTGTTCATGCGCTCGGACTCGATTTCGTCCTATGAAGTGGGGTCTGTTGACGTGCAGATGAAGCACCTGCTTAGTGATGAAGAGATCTCGGACCAGGATCTCCCACTTCACCTGTGCACATGCGGCGTCTGCTCCATCTGCAGGAGTGCCCGTGAGATTGCATTGGATGGCAGTAGCTGCTGGACCCCCTATGAGTGCGGAACAGCTTGTGCACCAACGCAGGCCCCCCCACCAGTTCAACCAGTTGCAGAGGAGCCCACGGTGCCCTGCGCCATGCAGGGCCAGGTGGAGCCATCCATGTGGTCGACCCCTTCGACTCCTGATTTTGGGGATGGCACGTCGGACTACTGGCAGGTGCCTAAGGCGGCACTCCATGGCATGGAGAGCAGCGCTGCTTGTGCTGCTCCTCTGGAACTGGATGCTGATCCGTTCTGCCCAATTGCTGTTGATGCGAATGAGTTTCAACAGGGGCGTCTGGCCCAATGGCCAGGTGTCATCCCGGCAGTGGGCAGAGACACTCTGAGCCCATACCCAAGACAGCAGTGTCAGAGCACTGCCCAGTCAAGATTGGCCACCCAAGCTGTTTTGTACCGCAGGGCTCCTGCCAACTCCCTTGCCACAGCAGGGCCCAATTTGCATTTTGCAGCTCCGCGTGCTGGGAATGCACAGTATGGAAGACTGCATGGGGACAGCAGATGTGTACCAACTGGGCCCCCTACGGGTTACATGCCTGGTCCAGTTGATGCAGTGAGCCCCAAGTTCAACTGTGCTCAAAGGAAGGTGTATCCCCCCCCACTGGCTATTGAAGAACAACTCATCGCTCAAGGCAATGAAATTTCCCCTGCTCTGCAGCGGGCCTCAGTATCGCCTCACCATCACATGCAGGTGAGAGCAAGAGTGGCTGTTGCGCCACCTTTGGTTGTTCATGATGTGTGATTCTGTGTGCGTGTTGGGTATGTGAGTTCCAGTATTTGACTGCCACCACTGCACATGTGATCCTTCTTGCAGTGGTGTGCGTGGCTACTTGACCAGAGGAAATGACGGCATGTGAGCGCCCACTAATCTGATGCAAAGTTTGGTACAGCCTCCTGCTTGACCACTGCTGTTCCATTCCCACGCAGTCGCGGCTATTGTATAGTTGGCAATTGCAGCTATTGTGTAGTTGTATTGTTCTACACGCCTTCTGCCATTTCAGTGTGGAAAACAAGCGGATTGATTTACTAAATCGCAGCAGTAAAACGAAGCCTGTGGAATGCAGTGGTGTCTCTCCTTGACAGGTTGCATCCAATTACAGGGAGCGAGCTTTGTGAACGGCTGAAGGCATATCATTGCTGCTCTGTTTCCCCTTGGCACTCTGTGGGCTGAGTGCAATATCTAAGTGTGGTTGGTTTTTTATGGACAATCTGAACCTCCTTGCTACAGGTGATGCAGCCGACGCAGCCGACACAGCCTGCAGGTCTGCTAGATAATCCCCTGGCCTTGGCGCTGGCAGCAAGCCGTCAAGGTGAGCCTGGTCACTGGCACTGGCACTTTCAACTGTTGATTTCGTCAAGGAAGGAGGCAACATTGAACAGCACTAAGCACCTGCTCTGTGCAAGTCTGTGTTTCCTCTTCTGGACAATTCCTGAATATATTGGTTTGTTGGTTGGATCATATCACTGTCTGGTTCAGTCCTTGTGAGGTGCTGAGTCAACACTTGCTAGGGGGCTGGCAGACACCGCCATGCAATTTGTTGGCAGCTGATGGTGAACAGTATTGCAAATATGTTTGTGTTAGCCAAGTGTAAGGCAATAAGTGTTAGTCAAGAAAACCGGTGACCTTTTAGTAGCGCAGACATTCTGTTGCCTAGCCCAGGCCGGTTGTGCCCTCCTGAGCGCACATACACTTGAAAGATAACCTCTGTCCGTGCTTTTGCCCCACATTGACTGCTTGTGCTCAAGTTCTCACATCAGATTTCCTCTGCCATCAGGCCCGCAGCAGAGGCCCCAGAACTTGGTGCAATTCAGGCGCCGCACACTCAAGATGCCTGAAGCTGTTCACGATCCCCAGATGGACCTTCTTGAGGCTCTGGGACCAGTTGCTGCAGGTGGACACCTTGCAGCCCAGACGAGAGCGATGTCTGGTTGTGTTCGGGTCGTTGTCACTGTGGCTACAGAGGATGATGGGCTCAGTGGCAGCACACGATTCCAGGCTGTGGCAACTGCGGAACCGCGGCATGCTGCCCTCCCAGATGTGAATGAGGCGAGCAGCCACAGCTGCAGCGACACTCTGCCACACTTTGAAGAGGTTCCAGAAGGACAGGCACAGCAGGAGACGACTGTTCTGGAGCAAGTGGCCAGCCAACTGCCAAGTGCAGTGGCACAGAGGCTACCGACGGATAATTGCTGGATCCAGACCGAGCACCACTTGGGTCGTGTGGTGGACGGGAACTTCCGCGAGCAATGGGATGTTGCTGAGCCGCTCAGGGGCTTTGACGTCCTGTCGATTCTGCCCGCCACATTTCTGGCTTCTCAGGACACGGATGTGAAGATCTTGGGTCGTGGCCTTGGACAGCCAGCGAGGGTGCTGTGCAGCTTCGGCTCTGAGACCCGAGTGCTCAGTCTCAGCCTGACTCGAATAAGAGTGGGTTGGGCAGGCGAGGTAGAGATCATCGAGAGCCGAAACTCGGGGCAGTCTGCAGGGGTCGATGCTTCTGAAGCTTTGGCTCTTGTAGCAAGGGCCCGCGGCGGCGTGGAGGTGGGCGACGTCCTTGAGGTCTGGAGTGGCCGAGTGAGGGCTTTCCATGGAGAGGGCGTTGGTTATGTGGAAGCTGAGATGGGCCACTTGCTAACCAACCCCATGCCCATCATGCTGACCAGCAGCATGAGTGTGCTGGAAGACATGGAGGTGCTGGAGAAAGAAGTGGAGGAGTGCCGGTAGGTATCTGGTGTCGTCTAAGCCAAACTATTATGTCACAGTTAAGACTTCAGGTTGCTGGTGGTTTGTTGTTTCTGAGTGTTGGATCGCTATTAAGGGTTTAGGGTTCAGGTGACTGCTGTTGTTCTCGATCGGAATGTGAGCAATGGTGAGGCAAGGAAGAGCTGCATCTGTCCAGTGACAGCAGAACATTAGTTAGTTATTTACTGGTTTGGATGTCTGTTTTGTCTTGCTCCGATGACTTTCTTCCAAGGGTTGGCACTTGTTGACCTGAAGGCCATTGCAGGTTGTCTGAGGACAAGTAACGCACCTTGTTGTTAGCTCGTTGGCTGGTGCTGAGCAACAATGTATGATGATGATTTGCGTGATGTACCGAGAGCCAGCATCAATCAGACAACTGCTTGATGGCTATCATTCACTGTTTGGAGACTTGCAGATGGCACTGGGCTCCGAGTTGTGCTGTGGATCTCAGCTTGGACCACAGCACGTCTGCTTTTGAAATATTCAGCAAGAGCATCAAGAACATGGCAATGTGAGAACCATCAAGTATTGCAGAGCAGTGGATCACAGCAGAAGTGCACAGTAGCAGTGCACGCTAGCAATGCACAGTGCATTGCATGTGCAGGCAGCTGCTGAACACCCTCTTCAGTTGTTGTGGTGAATGCTGTGCGCAAAGCTAGTAGGAGTTGTAGGAATGTCTGATTATTGCTGGTGGTGCTGTAAAGAATGACAGAGGAAGAACTTCGGCAGACACGCGAAGACATTGGCCAAGTCATCAGCCATCTTGCACATGGCAATCATGTGGCAGCAGCAAAGCGAGAGGAGGACCGGATAGACTTCGATGTCCGGCCCTGGAACGACCAGGGCACTCCAGAATTCAGGGCAATGATGGTGACCCTGGCCAACTGGCATGTTGGCAACTTTTGCCGAAGGGGTCTCCCTGCCCTGATGAGGGCCATGCTGCCAGCAGCGCTGTTGTCAGGAGCTGACTTCGCTGCCATAGCAGAGCTGGCATTCAGTGACGGGTGGGTGACAGTGTGGATGAAGCGTTTGTACTGTCTGCTGAAACTGTAGCCTTGATGGTAGTGTGGTTTGGATGCGGGTGTGCTAGAAGGGACTATGTTACCTGAAAAGCTCCTGGAGCACTATCTAGATGGCGACACTTTGACCGAATAGGTGAATCGTGTGTTGTGTCCTGAACAAAGCCCATATCAGCAGCTTTCAAAGACTTTCAATTCACAATTGGAACTCATGGCTGAAACTGGTGCTTGAAAGGCTGTTGGAATTGTCTGTAGACTCTGCAGCTGCATGTGCACATTCAGCTATGCCTTTAATTCTTGCAAGTTGTTTGACTCCCATAAGTTGTGGACAGAAGAGCAGTATACAGCAAAGCAGTATTGCTGTTCAACCATCGTCGCACATCAGCCATTCTGATGTGACAGTGCTGGCTGTGCTGGCAGTCACCTCACCACCATGCTGCCCAATGTCGAGCATCGTTGTGCTTTTGTCGTTGTGCGTATTTTATTTTCTATTGTTATCATGTTTCGATTGCAGAACATCCTCTTGTGCTGCTGACCAAGCACTCTGCTTGTGTAGGTGGACGCTTTTGCATCTTGCTGTGATGTCTCACAGCGTGCAGATGGTCAGGGCTCTGATGAATTTAGGCAAGGAGCATGGCTACACGTGGCGCTGGGACATTCCTGGGCCAATGGGCCTCACCCCTCTTCACATGCTGGCTGTGGATATCAACGGAGCTGAAATGCTCAAATTTGTTGTTTCTCTTGAGCCAGGTGTGATGGTGGCACTGCCCAACAGTGTGTTCAGTTGCACACATCACCGTTGCTGTTGCAAACTAGCTTTGCAGTGCTGTCTTGCTATTGAGTTGATGTTTGTGGATTGCTTGAGGAGTGTCAGGCTGTTGGACAGTTGCCAACCAGGCAACAGTCCTGTTGGAGCAGACTATAGCCACTCTGGATCAGCCTGATTCAGTGTTGGTTGCTTGGTTGTGTACGAATTTTGTCTTTGCACGGTGGTGGGCAGCACTCAGAAACGTGATCCGGTATGCTGACCACGTTTTCTGTGTGTTTCTTCGCCCATCATCGCCTGCTGGGCACAAGGGTTTTCTTTGTCTTTAGGACCAAGGTACTAAGACCTCGTAGTAATGCTCTGTATTGTATTAACATTGTATTGCTAATACCACTGCATCATCAGCACTATCATATGTAACGCTTTCATCGATGCTGATATCAATGTACGGCTAGTCAATGCCAGCATTGACTTTTGTAGAAGTGCTGATGGTGATAAGTAGCCGATTTTGCACATTTGCAGGTACAATCTATCCGAGTTTTTTGGTGTTTCTGAAGTTGTGCCAAAAGGCAGGGTGGTCAACAGCCATTTTGACACTTCAGCCTTGTCCAAATTCCATTGCAACTAGCGTACTTGGAGCGTACATGGCCACTCGATTGTTTGCGCTTGACACAGACAGATTTGACATAGTATTTAGTGATTTTACAGAACACGATACGGCCATGTGTAGAGATGCACACGCTTAACTTCTGGCAAGGTCATACATATGAAGCCTGGGACAACTCATTAGGTGGTGGTTGGTGCTGCTGACATGCATTTAAATGTTGTGTGTCTGCCTGTGCCAGATGTGAGCGCAATGTGGTTCAAGCTGTCCATAAGCAACGGTGAGACCCCGGAGTGCTTTGCGCACCGCGCAGGGCACCCTGGGCTGAACGATTTTGCAAGGGTTCACAGGGCAGAACGCACAGCCGAACAGGACTGGCAGGACCAGAGTGCGAGCTTGATAGATGCCGTTCCCAAGACAGAGGAAGCCCCGCAGCTCTCACAGCCCCAAGAACCAAATCCTGAAGAAGATGGTGCAACTTCTACTGCCCACAATTGTGGGCAGGAGAAGTGCAAACCCTACGAAGAACCTTGCCCTTCCCAGGTGTGTGTTAGGGGTGCATGATCAGGACCCCAAGTGGTCTTGGACCTGTTGTATGCATGCTGACTCGCTTTTGATGTTGCAGAAAGCTTTATTCTGCAGTGAATGCATTTTTGGAGTGGTGAAAACTTGTACAAGAATTGGTACGCGCTTTCATTCCTTTGGGCTTTCGACGATGAAGTTAGGAGATGTCTTTTGTCAGATGGAGTGTATTGCCGCAGTGCCAGTTTATGCAAGTATGCACTTTGGAGTTGCACCTGGCTGTGTGTGAGCGCAAAGCAGCAGTATTGCTGGGCGTGTGTTGGCCAAGACAGCCATCAAACTGTTGGCTGTGGCAGCTGAAGTGGGCCTGTTGCATATTTTTTGTCTTCAGGTCCCATGTTTGACACCATTAAGCTCTCTTTGGAACAGTGGATTGAGGTTCACAGATCCAGCGAAGGAAGCCAGGTTCAAGGACTACTTTGGACGTGAGTTGCACAATTATTGCTGTTGTACCATTGAACCTGCACTCACCGCTGACTGGAAGAAGATCTTGTACTTCCTGTCCATGAAGTGCTTTGGTTGGGTACATTTCACTAGTCTCTAGTGTTGAAGTATCCAGCTGCTTGAACACCAGAAACTTCATCACATTCAACCCTCAAAGTGCAACTAGGCTCACAACAGCCCAGTTGCACTATGGGGCTTGAATGTGATACACTGAGCCAGGCTTTTACCCCCTGGGCTCATCAAACGATCGCCAATCGACCTGTGCCCAATCCCACTCTCCTGGACCGGGCAATTCAGAAAATCTGTGACAAGCAGGTAGAATTAGAGAGGTTTTTTTTAAGGTGGTCAAAAGGCATGGACCAAGGGTCGACATTGGATATGATCGACCGAACTGAATGTGACTTGTGGCAGTACTACTACAATGTTCTAGTCACATTTATAGGTTAAGGGGAAGGATGGAGGTAGCTGCCTTGGGCTCAAGGCACAGCTTGTGAAAAGGAGTGAAAGGAAGAGAGTATCAGGATTGATCGGGAGAGGCTGAGGGCCCTAGCAGCTTTTCTAGTATGAGAATGAGCTCAGGGTGGACCTTCTCCCAAGATTCCGGGGGATTTGAGATCGCCAACGCTCCTGAAAGCTGCTAGGCGGAGGAATATGTTTCCCTCACTGGCTCCTTGGACATATGACTTGAGGATGACCTTGAGGATGAGTTGCTTGACAATGCCAACATTGTGGGTCCAGAGAGTGGGAGATGAGGAGAATTGGGCGTGATTTTGGTGTCTAATCAGACGTGGGATGGTAGTAAAGTACAAATTGTGGGCTGCTGTAATGGAGTATTGATCAGGTATTGTTTCAACATTAAATGACAAAAGTGCAATTGGTGGACGTAGGCTTAAATGTACTGATAATATGCATTTATTTAATGTTTTGATATGATAGTTGATATAATTGAGTGGGACATGATAGCCGGCAAACTTGCGTGTGGGTTTTGGGTAGTACAAGCCCAGGGCATGTAACGTGGTGAAAATGATGATGTAAGGATGTTGTTTGGAGAATATTCGCTGATGTGGGAACGGATGGCAAAATGATGTGGGGCATATTTTGTCATGACGAGAGTTGGTGCGGCATGACAAGAGGGCGTTAAGCACCAAATGATGTTTTGTACCAGCGGGTTAGGGTTTGACATGTGAAGGGGGAGTGTTGGGGTTTCGGGTGGGGCCAAAGCGCTGTGGCTGTGGGTCTAGGCAACCACGGGCGACGATTGTGCCTGCGCTGCGAAGTGTGAGACCTGGTGTTCTGTGGTCTACCGGTCCCTTCTCCAAAGATAGCGTAGGCTCGCTGCATTGCTAGCATCGATCACCGTGTCTACAAAATTTGTGCGATCGTATGACGGTCAGCGGCATCGTGCAAAAAAAGGCGATGGATGTCGCATTCAGCCCTGACGTCTCCCTTGAGCTCGCAGCCTGTCAGGGTTGTTGTGGAGATGTCGCGTCTGTCTATGACCCCTCCCCAGTCGTGCCAGCCACCGGAGGAGTGAACTGGAAGTCGGCAATGCCCGTCAAACGACCTCGAAATGTCGTCATGTCTACCGGAGTGCATTATCACCTCAACCGGCATGCCCCAAGTTGCTGCTCACTGACATTGTGTCATGATGTGACTGCAGAGACACTGCATGGCACCGATGGGCTGTTCGCATTCTTGTACGTGGCGTGCTGCATGTATGTGTTGTTGATGATCGAGTTGGGGAACTTCAAGCAACCTACCAGGGTTGTGTGGAGTCAGGAGGGCATGCTGCCGTACGCCCTCGCGCTGCTGCCGCTGGGTTTGCCACTTGTCATCAACTGGGTGTTCCAGTAAGTCGCCCTCGCCAAAATGGGTGCATTTTTGATCATCACAGATGCAGCACTAGTTATCCCGAGCACAGGCGGTTGCTTTCTAGTTGAGTTTTGGGTGCTGTCCTTGGGCTGATGCCTTAATAGCGATAATGTCAGCTTGTTAAATGACTTCGAGCTGCTTACAGATTGGGAGGAATCTATGGCCACTGCTGTGGAAGTTGTTATGGGCCAAGGACATGGCACATCTACTGCATCGAATACAAGTATCACGGACCTGCAATTCTCATCTTTGGTTGTAACAGTTGCCTAGTTCTTGTGCTGCCACATGCTCTTAAATCAGTTTTAAGCACTATGAGCTCGTGCAGCCGAACCACACCAGCTGCAGAATTTCGTGGTCGCTTGGGCCCATTGTCGCATGCGCTGCTGCCCCCTTACTGTTTGGCTCCTTGCCCTTGCTGGTCGCCAGTTTGAAAGTGAAGACGCTGATGCCCTGCCTCGTGTGTGCTGCTGCAGAAGCTTCACATGGTACTACAAGTGGCGTGAAACCATCCATGTGGCTGGCAGCTATGCGAGTGTTGCTGTGTCGCTCTGCTTTGGGATTGGACCCATGCAGTGGTTCCTCTCCAGATGGTCGAACAGCTTGTTCGCAGTTGGTTTCGTTGCTTCCAGGGTGAGCTTTCCCACACAGGTGGGTTTCTGCCAACCCACTTGGGTTTGATATCACTGTCACAGGTGCCTTGCCTGAAAAAATGCAAGGGCACTATTCTATTCTCAAGGGGAGGAGTATGGTTGCCATCGTTGTCGACGTCATCTTCGTTATTTTATTGCACATATTGCTGCTCAATGGCTGCTTTGTATCGTGAAGTGAAGCATTTTTTGTCTGTAGTGCCATTGTAGTGATTACTGCTTGATTAGTGTGTTTGGAAGTTACCATCATGGTCAAGTGTCTACTAGTAACACAGCTTGTGATTTTCGGATTCTGATGTTGCATTAGGAACAGATTTCAGCATGTCTTGGCTGACAGGTGAGGATGGGTTCTGTTGCCGGCAGGTTCGACTCTGTCATCAGGTACGGCTGCATGCTGCTGAGCTGTTCGTCGCTCTGGCCAGTGCCTTGCGCCATGGCATGCTGCATCGAGCCTTTGCGGAGTGTTTCTGCATGATATTGGCCATGGGTGCCAACTTGGCGTGGACATACTATGAGGAGAAGCAGTCGCGGTGAGATGAATGCTTGCTCTTTCCACTGCGCTGTGTCTTTCGAGTTCGATGTGCAGCATTGGTTGGCTACATTGGTGCCTGCCCCCGTTTTCTTATTAGACTGCTGATACCATGTGCGACACGGTGGGGCAAGCAGATAGTTTGTGCACAGTGCTGGGCAGCACGTGCAGAACTGTGAAAATGGTATTTTGTTGTGTAGATGGGGCGAAAGCCTTAACCGACTTCTTGCCTTTTGCTCTTAGCAGATAGTTGCGTGCAAATAGGATGATGCAACAGTGGGGTTTTGGGGGCAAACAAACTTCTGACCTAACTGGTCTTCTGACTTAACTCCCCCTCTTGAGCAGAGAGCTTGCAGCCCTCCCTGGATGCTGAGCGGAGACACCATGCTTTGCTCATAATTGCAATCCTGTTGACTGCAGCCTGGCACACAAGAATGTTAGTGATGTAGGCCCTGGACGCCAGATGTCATTTCTTTGTTAAGCTATTGGAGTGCCATACACGTTCTTTGACTGTGCTTTTGGCAATTAGCTCGCGCTGACATTGACGTGCATGTGCCTCCTTCCGCCCCTCCAAGAACGCATGTGTTTTGAGATTGTGTGCTGCTTGGGTCCAAGGCGCGTTGCGCCACTGATATGTCATTGTGGGACGACAGTTTGGGAGCAAAGGGCATGCTTTCGATGAACAGCCTTTTGTGTGTCTCGTATACTTGAAAGTGGATTCGGATCCAGCGTACAGTTTGTTCTCCCCCAGGAGCGTTCCATTCCATGTGGGGTCTGGTGTGTGTGCGCCAACTGTCTGACTGCCCTGCAAGTCCCATCTCAAGTCGCTGCTGGGAATTGCCAGCCGCCCTTTTTTTTTCTGAATCCTCGTCGCTTTGGTGGCTGAAACTGGCGTGTGCTTGGGCTGCGGCAGGTTGAATTTTTTGAACAGCAAGCCTCAGCGAAAGTGCGCCAAGAAGCTGCACAGCAAGTTGGCCTGAAGACAGCAATTGCTCTTGGCCCCATGTTGCTGGCACACCATTGGCTCGATGTTGTTTTGTTTAGGCAGAGGAGAGTCCGCATTGCAGCACAAGTGCACAAATAAGCTTGTCATCCTGGAGTCCTTGAACACGTCTGTTCGCTTTTGTACCAATAAGTAGTGAAGGCCAGCAAAAAGTAGCAAGAGGCATGGGGTGTTGAGACCGTTCAGGTTTTGTCAAGAAACAACAATAACAAGGAGATTGACACCTGTTATTTGCTCTAAGCGTTGCGGGCGGGCCTGGTTGCGCTTCCTGCGTGTAAGCCCTCGTTCTTTGATTATGTCACCACTTTCTGTTGTCGGGGATCTTGTCGAGTGATGGGTGCCGAGAATATCAAGTTGCCCATTTTTCCAGTTCCTGGGGTGCAGTGCCGTTTGGCCTTGTGCTGCGCCGGGTGGCAGTGTGGCCTGCTTTTGGGTGAGAATGCCCGAGGGGCTTCAATAAGTCAACTGGGCGCTTTTTGGAGGGCGATGCAAGTGAAAACAGCTCGCTTCTGGGGTGACTGGAGCTTGCGTGGCAATGTTTTTTGTTATAGCATTGGGATTGCGCAGGCTGGAGAGATGGTCGTGGTGGAAGACGACAGACTCTGTCGAGTCGGCAGTCCGCCGCACTGGCCAGGGAGAGGTTGAACTTGCTGATAAGGAACTGATGGGGTGAAATTTGTGCCATTAACCTGTATTGTAAAGAAGAAACTTTTGGGAACTGTGCCGTTGACGGAGACAGGCAGGGTAGAGGGGTGGCGACCCGTGATTGGGGATCGTAGGCTCCAGTACACGGCGACTGTGTACAGACAAACAAAGAGGCAACAGGAGTTCTGTCCCTTTCATATTCAGCCCGTTCATTAATGTCGTTGTGGCAATGCTTGATGCCTGATCACCTCTATGTGTCCAACTGTCAGTATTACTCAATCAGTTCTAGTTACAACACCTCATCCATGCAATGCTGTGTCGATCCTGTTACAATGTTTTGGTCGGAACGCATCGTGCCTATGATGCGAATTGAAAAGGGCGGAGTTGCGTGTCATTGCACGTTGTCCTGCCCCGCCCTAACCTCAGCGGTGCCCCAGCTCTTTGGACAATGCATGGTGCCAATACTTGGCTACAAACTTGTAAGGTGAAGAAAGGAAGGAGCTTTCCATACACGCCGTGTGAACGCCGTGAGTCTCACGTTCCCAAGGCGTGTCGCCCTTCTCGTGGAATGTGTGGTGGTGGTCCCTGAAATACTCATGAAGAAATCGCACAGGGTATTGTCACATGGTTGCATCAGGAGCTGCCGCCCGTAGCTTGCACTCGGCCAGTCCTGTCGACTGGGCAACATCACAAAGTACCCTCAATGTGGGAGTGTACCGGCAGATTGCTGCAGCGCACTGGTGTGATCTCACCAGCCCAATCAACAGTCGTTGAGGAAAACTACTACCCCTTCAGTGGTCCAAACATGCTGTGTCTGCAAAACTCGTAGCAAGATTCAGCATGGAAGTGGGGCCCAGCAAGCAAGAGCGAGTGAATGTCCAACCCCAACGAGCCCAGTGGAGCCTTTCCTGGGCATGATGTTCATCCAAGAGAGCGTAGGGAAATCTGGATGTTTGGCATCAATTCACTTGGCCTGGGCCAGGAGGCTTGTGTTGCGCTGTGGCACAAATCAGGTGTAGCTGATACAGCCATGAGATTAGGCATACTTGTTGGGACATGTGCGGTGAGTACAGAGCTGACGGGACGAGATCCAAGCCCTGCAGTCGCCTTTCAGAATCCTGAGGCCTTCACACGGGGAACGTGTTGCAATACCTCCATTCTCACTGGAAGTTATCTGATCTCCTTGGGAGGGGGCCACATCCGCATTGGATGTTGATGGCGCCTTTCATTTGCCTTGTGTTAGGGGCACCAATAAATGGAGCCAGTCTAAACGAATAGATGGCTGCCATGCCACGTGAATCGTTACGCGAGTCCTACCAAGCTGGTGCCCCGTCAGGCCCAGGATTCCAGGCCGGCGTGGCCTCGGTCGACAGTTTGCAAACAAACCGTAGGGATACCCCTCAAGAAACTCGCCAAGAGGTCACAGGGAGCCCGCAGGGGCCGTCAGGGCCCAGATGTACGCCAACAAGCGGACAACTGCCATGTAATCCCGCCCAGCAATTCACCCACTGCACGGGAAGCACGTAGGAAGCACCATGGCCTGTGAGGCCTGCACCCGACGCTAGCCACCCGCATGCCCAGTGACTGACCAAGACATCGCGCGAGTGCCAAGTGACCTGGACCAGGGGCACCTGCCGATGGGCCTGCGTCGAAAAACCAGAGCAATGCCCATTGATCGGGCAGTTCAGCCCATGGGAACCCATGCCACACGGTAGCAAAGACAATCCCAAGGGGATTGTTCACAAGTGGCAGGGGGGATCAGAAGGCAGGGGGAAGATTCCCAATCTGCCCGGGCAGCACGCTTACGGAGGGGTGGTCGAGGGAGAGCACCCCTAGGGGACGGATGCAGGAGCTGCGGACAGGGTGGTCCGGACGTGTTTCCGAAACGGGGAAGGGCTTTCCGGAAAATGTGAGCAGGCCATTCCACGGAGGGGGCCCTTGCACCCAACCCGTCAGGGGGGTTTTGCTCGCAGAGCCTGCATTGAGGAAACATGCCAACCCGATGGTGGGCCTGAGGGGGTGCAAGGGGGTGCGAGTGCGGGGAGTGAGGTGGTGGGGGGTGACTGTACCACCGAGCACTGACTCAGCGGGGCGCCTTGGGGATCTGTGATATGGGCACATATCGGGCAGGAATCAGGCGTTGTCACGTTGTCTTGTATGCTAGGCAACTATGCGCAGCTTGGCATATGGGGGCTTGATTGCAGTCAGGCCAAGGATCCCATTGCAGGGTAAATGGACTCATTATAGAGATTTGATCATACAGATCAATTGCAAACTCAATTTACTATCGGATGATACCAAATTTGGGTTTTTCTTATAAGTTTCAAAGATTCTGGGGTTTTAGAAAGAAAGAAATAAGTGGACCCTAAGGAACAACCTTTGTTTCCGATGGTGTTTTGGGACAATTTGAGTTTGGGGGGGGGTCTGTATAGCTGGAAAGGAACAGTGGTTAAAGTACTTTAAGATTTGTGCAGATGGCTGTCAACCTTGGCCTTGAGAATAGGTTAGTTTATGATGAGATATGTGTGAATCTGCGCATGTCCTGTGAGATCTGTTGCGAATTGCAACCAGGGCCAGCGAACCACTCCTTGCAGGATGCCGATTTTGGTCATGGAGGATGGGGTGGACGGGCGAATGGCCACCATCCTTGAATGGCGGAAGAGTCGCGGCTTCACCAACCATCAAGAAGTCAAGTAGTTTTCTGATGAATTGGAGCTGTTCTGATAGCAACGGCTTATGCAACCTGGTGTACAGGCTAAAATTCGATTGGCGGATGGAAGTTTCATGTTCGGCATACCCTGGACAAGGGCGAACGACGTGTAGTCTACCTTTCTTGAAGAGTGGGATGAGGCGCTTCGAAGGGGTGGTGTTTTATTTGATCGGACAAGGGTGCAGCTGCGATTATCTCTCAGAGTTGTGACATGTCAGATCTTTCTCCGCTCCTCAGGTCTGAAATCTTATTTGGACTTGGGACAATGGTGTACCCATGATTGGAGCCTACTTGGAGAGTTGCCACTAGGAAAGTTGCAAAGGCGGTTCTGAGGAAGGAGAATAAGCCCGTTCTCTAGAAGGCTTATGAGATCATCGATGATCGATTGAGGACGGTCGAGAAACGGGTCCTGCAGGATTTCTTTCATAAAAGGATAGCCCAAACGAACTATGAGGTATGTCAAAATGATGAGGTCAAAGCCTTGAGGTTGGAGAAGGCCCAACTGGACTCTATGCCAATTGGGTTGATCTCTATGGCAATTTGAACACCATGTGGTGTCCAAGCGCTGAACAACCATCGTGAGTGCCAGCGAGGGATTGATCAGTTGTTGGTTAAGGATAATGTGAACTTGGAGATGGTGAATTGGCTTGGCAAATCTGCGGTGCCATGCTCATCGGATTGAATGGAGCTGACATGAATAGGAGCCGTGAAGGCCAAGGAGATTATCAGAGTATGCGCTGTGCACATGGGATCAAGAGTGTCATTCTAGATTTGATTAGATAGTGGGTAGATTCGCTTGATTTTGATAACAATGATAGGTTGGGCTGGGCGTGAGATGTACAGCTGAGACTTTTCAGTTGCCACTATTAGTATGTGATATGACTTGATAGTATGTGGGAGATTTGATTGGATTTAAGCCGTCAGTAAGTGCAGTACAAAATTGGGACTTTGAATACTTGAAAAACTTAATGTGAATAACAAGAGGCACTATAAGAGGTAATACGGAATCTTATTGAGCATATTCTATGGGATGTGTGGTTGCAAACAAACCTGAGAATGCATATAAATTGGTTGGCCGGCAATGTCGTCAAACTCCAGTCTGTAATCTATATTTGGTTACAGCTGTGATAGCCAGCCAGGCCTCCTCACCGACTGGGGAGGGGAATTGCAAGGCCAAATGAGTGTCCCTTTTGAGGGATTCAGACCTGTGTGTGACTGGTACGAAACATTTGGTTTATACCTTTTTGGCCATTTTGTCGCTCAGAATTGACACCATTCGATTGAAATCAAGTCGATCTTTCATTGCTGCCCTCCGGAGAGGTCTGGCCATGGCGAGGCCACGATTTTTGCACTTGGTTTTGCGCGTTTCGTCAAATGGGCATTTGTAGGATTCAAGTGACAATTGCCACATGCCATGTGAGAGCGCAGCGAGTTGCAATGTAAACAACATGTGCGTTCATGTGACACTACCCCCAATGTTGTGGGTCGACTTTCGCCAGCAACCAGATTTTCCACATCCCGATGAGGAGTAAGTATTGGTGTTGTGAATTCTGGTGGATCCAGTCTTACTGGTGAATTCACTTCATTATGTTGCATTGAGATGTTGGGGTGAGAACGGGTTT